CCTTCAGCCTTCTGGATGTGCAGGGTACAGGGGCCACCTATGGGTGAGTTTTGAGTTTGGCTGGGCACCAAGGAAGCTCTGCTCCTCTTCAGCCCTCTGCTTCCAGCTTGGCCCCCAGAGGCACTTAAGTTACTTACATCAATTCCCTATTACTTTAGCCAACAGCCAGGAGATCAATTAGCTTGGAGTAGCCTCTTAGCTGAAAGCAGTCTAGGAGAACTGACTGGGCTGAAAGAGGTGGAGGAGCTGCGAGAGGAAACCAAGGTATCCCGAGGGTATTTGTGCATATGTGTGGTAGAGGGGGAAGAGAACAAGACTCCAAACCAGGGCTCTGGATTCCTGCAACTGGCTCTGCCCAGCTCCTCTGCAACAGCCTCTGTTTGGTTAAGGCACTCACCAAGGTGGGAGGAAGAGATGAGAAGGATAGGGTCTGTTCCCCTGCATCCACTTAGCTTCTTCTTACCTCTGGATGCTGTGGCTGTTCCCTACCACAGCCTACCCCACAGGAACACTGGTTGGAGCTGGCAAGAGCAGCCTTCCTGTCTCTCTGCTTCCTTTCCTGTGCAGCAGTCTGGATGGCAGCTCTGCCTTCCACAGCCCCTGCACTTCCTGCCTAGCTGACGAGAACTGGCCTAAGTAATAGGGTTGGGCTCCTGAGGGACTCTCTCTGTCTGAGCCTCTATGGGGTGAGGTGGGGGTTGTTGATGAAGGGGCAGAGCCCTGGGCTTTACCAACCTTGGCTCTGGTTACTTTAAGGTGACCTCTCTGTCTCCCTTCTGGGTCCCAGGATCACCCACCCATATTGTCTCTCGTCACCATCTCCCCTTCCTCTTCCCTCCCATGCTTCAGGGATTAAAACCTTGGAGGGGTCCTGAGTCTACCCTTTTCACTCCACCTATGCTCTAGGTGATTCCTATCTCCACTCCAGGATAGGGACCCCCCCATAGATTCCTGTCCCCCTCATAGATTCCCATTCTTCCCCCTCCTGAGATGTCTTTCCCTACCACACTCCTGCCCTCAGAATTTCCACTGTGTGCCCTCTTCTTCCTTCTCTTCCCAGATCCAGACATCAATTCCTGTTTCTCTTTCCCCTGGGCAAAGGCTCCAGGTCTCAGCTGCATGGGGGGGGGGCACATAAGGCAGACTGGGTAGCCATCTGCTGGCCCCCTCCCCTTGGTGCTGCTCAGCATTCCAGGCACACTGCAGCTCCCACTGCCAGGGACAGATAAGGTGCAGCTGGAGGCTGGCACCAGCTGCGACTGCTCACTCTGCGGCCCCCACCCAGACATGAGCAGACAGCTGCACCCCTGGCCTCCCTCCATGGAACCCCTGCCCTGCCTTGGCCTGGCAGGCATCAAGGTGGGGTAGAGAGGAACCTCAGACTCTGTTGCCCTAGCAACAAAACACCTCATCAGGGAGGAAAGGAGGTGGTCAGGAAAGAGGGGGTTTTATGGTTGAGTCCTCCTTGCTCTTTAGACCACTTAGGAGGAAGCTACTGAGATACCCCCAGCTGCATACTCCTCTACTGCCCTTCTGTTTCTTCAGTCCCAAAGAATTTCCAAGTCCCTTTCTCCTAGATTTAGTTCACACAGTGACACCCACATCAGAGGATGGACCCTGGTCCAACACTCTGTGACCAGCAGTCCACTCTCTGAGATTGAGCTGGATTCGGAAGCACATCTGAGGGAATGCTGTCACTCAAGACCCCTGTCAGGGGTCTGGGGTCTTTGGGAATCTGAGTTGCCCTCTGAAATGGCCTTCAGAAACAGAGCTCTTCTTTTCTCCTCCTCTTCCTCCTCCTTCTCCTTCTCTTCTTTTCCAGTTCTGAGGATTAAACCCAAAATCTCACTTAGCTACACCCCAGCCTTAGAATTTTTTAAAATTTTGAAGAAGGGTCTTGCTAAGACACTAAGTTGCCCAAACTAGGCCCACAGTTGTAATCCTACTTCAGCCTCCCAGAGCTCTGGTATTACAGGTGCGTACCAGGACACCTGGCTTGGGACAAGATTCTTACTATTTGCATGAGATGCCTTGGAAAATATACAGGAGAGTCCACATATGCTCATGATTGCTTGTGCCCCCAATTAAAACCTGCTCTTGAGACTGCAAAAGATGCCAGGATACTCTCTCCTAAGCCTTGACCCTATGAACATGTTTTGTGACACATTTGGCCAGGGGCTAGATCCATTGCCCCAAATTACCACTGGGCCTAGCTGAGAATGGCAAGGATGAAGAGATAGATTAATTAGGATACCAAGGAAAGTAGAGAGGGTGGAGCACAAGGAGGAGCATGTGAGTCCCTAAGGACCCCAGGCCCATCTCCACTAGAGAGATGTTAGGTAAGAACTCACCACCAGACTTCCACACATGTAGGAGCATCCCTACGGACCAAAGAGGTAGGGATCTTCACATGGAAAGTGTTTGAGAGGGCCAGGGATATAGCTCAGGGGCATAAACACCTGCCTGGCAAGTGCAAGGCCCTGAGTTCGATTCCCAGTACCAAACAAAAGAAAGAAAGAAAGAGAAAAGGAAAAAGGAAAGAAAGAAAGGAAGGAAAGGAAAGTGTTTGACAGTGAGATGCCAGAGAAGGTACAGGGAAGGGCTGAGGGTTTGGGACCAGCCAGATTCAGGGCCAAGTCTTGGACACAGGCTGAGAGACAGAAAAACTTGGTCTCTCTGACAACTCAGAATCAGGAAGGATACTAACTTGTGTGTTTTCTCTGATCCCTTGGCAAGAGAAAGAACTTAGACTGCTCCAGAACTCTGTGCCTCCATCATATCTCCCCCTGACTGTTTAGAAGTGTCCCTTCAATTAGACAACACAATGCAATCACATTTTAGTGTCTTCAATACTGTGACCCAGAAGTGTCTTAGCCCCACCTCTTATAATATTTCTGGACTTAGGGGACAAAAGACACTTTCTGCAGACTAACTTTATCCCAGCTTTATACCTTAGCTTCCCAAGCTGAGCCAAGCTCTTTTTTTTCCACATACAACCCTACAAACCACCAAGCTAATAGGTTTTCTCTCTCCTTCCTGGAGGTCCCTTCTGCCTGTGTGTTGCATGTGTTGAGGAGGCAGGACTCCAGGTTTGGCATCAATCTCTTTGCCTACAGTTCTGCTTCTCTTGGGAATATAATTTGTGAGCCTGGGAGCCCTTCGTCTCAAGCACTAGGGACTCTAGGACTCTTCTATTGTGAAGGAGGAAGAGAGAAGGAAACGGTTCTTGCACACAGGCTAAGCTCCCATCAACATGGTTTTTCTACATGTAGTCATGGGACTTGGTCCAGAAGGGTTGAGTACAGCCCATGAAACTAGTCTGCAGAGCAGGATTTAAGAGGTCAGGAAGTCCTGCGTAACCTCAGGAGGAACATTAAACATGACCACTGCTCTAACCTTTCTGCACAAAAAAAGTATAGCCCATGCTCCCCTCATGCTATGAGGAAACAAATAAGTAGGGGTGAAAATGGTCAGGGAGAAGGGGAAGAGGGAGGATTTAAGAGTTGACACAGGAGCAGGGAATTCTGGGGAGACTGGGTTTTGAAAGAGCAATGCCAGAATTGAAGGACTCAAAACTTTGAGGTCAGTGGTACCAATGAAAGAATATACTGTGCTGGGACTTACAGAGACATGAGTTCTAAAGCTGAACCTGCCACTAACCAGCTAGTAAGCTTAAGTAAACTATTCTACCTTCTTGTGTCTCAGTCTGTGTACTTATAAAATAGATAATACAATTATTTATCAAAGGGATAATATGATAGAGCCTGGTAACCATTCAAAACATCCTCCTTCCACTTGGTTATTCACACATGGCTCCAGGTTCTTCAGTGTCTTTCTAGCCTCTGGTTTTTGTTTGTTTTGAGATGGAGTCTTGCCACATTGCCCAGGCTGGCCTCAACCCCTAGGCTCCAGTGATCCCCCTGCTTCAACTTCCTGAGTAGCTGGGACTACAGGTGTGTACCACCATGCCCAGCTTCTCTGTGTAGTTCTTTCATTTTTTCTGGGGGTGAGGCTTGCACTGCATGTGGTGCTGGGATCGGGATTGAACTGCACTTCTTGGTATCTGTGGTTGTCTAAGGTTGCCTAAGCAGGTGCTTTAGACTGCTGAGCTATCTCGCCTGCCCTTCTGTGTAGTTCTTAACCCTGAAGAATCTGTGGGATTTGCCCAGTGCCATTTAGCACATTTATTGCTGAAGTCAGTTCCCTGGCCTCTGAGGTGCTGGCTCAAAACTACCACATCCAAGATGTGGTGTATTTGTAGAGCGTCTCTGCTTTCAGAAGCAAAGGGAGCCTTTGTTCAGCCATGACTACATCCGGACACCTCTGCCCTTGACTCTGTGGTTCTTCCTGGCAAAGGGGGAACCTACTAAGATGGCCTGTGTACTCACATCCATGCATGTGTGTGTGTGTGTGTGCATATGGGTGTATATGTGTGTGGGTGGATGGAGGATGACACGGAGAGAACTGACTGTCCAGCTGTGTAAGGGGAAGCTTCTCTTTCTTCCCATGCTTCATGTTGCTTCTCAAACTTTAACGTGTACTCACTATACCTGGGCATCTTACTAGATGCACACACTGATTCAATAGGTCTGAGAAGTTGAGTAGCAAAGTCCTACATTTCTTTCAAGCTCCCAGGTGACAATTTCCAGGTCCCATTTTAAGTAACCAAGTTATAACTCATCCACCACCATTCCTATCTCTGACATCTGTGGCCTAGAAAGGAAGGTTGGGCTTTGGGGCCATGCCAAGCCACTTGTGTGCATGCATTTACAAGTGTGTGCACATGCGGTGTGCATGTGATGTGCATTGTACCATCGTGAATGCAAGGCTGAGGCTCAGGGCCTCATACAGTATAGTGTGCCCCTGGGCTGAGCAAAGTCCCCTTCTACCAGAAGCAGCTCCCAAGATACGCAACTCCCTAGCCCCTACAGGCAAGCACCCTGAGAGGCCTGGCGTGCTCTTGTCTTGTCCACACACCTCACACCAGAAGACTCACTCACCACCTTGAAGTCTTCAGCGCTGCAGACCTCTCCCCGGAAGTGGCAGGAGAGCAACATGTCTCGAATGTCGTGTCCTGCACGATCATAGAATTCACGCATGTTGAAGGGCTTGGGCTTGAAGCTTCGGAAGTTGGCCTTGTCCTGCAGTATCTCCAGCTGCTTTTCATCAGCCATCTGCGTGTCTGGTATCTCATACCTGGAGCCCAGGGTGAGTGGCATGTGGATCAGCATGACCACTAGTGCCCCATAATCTACGTGGCAGAGGGCAGCATCTGACCCTAGGATCAGACCTGAGTATAGGTAGGTGAGGGAGGAGAGCTGGGCTGGTCCAGAGGACCTGCTGCATGGAGTGTGGGAAGGATCTGTAGTGGCTCCCAGGGACTGGGGATCTCAGCACAGAAGTGAGAGGGAAGCACAGATAAGGCAGAGGCTGTGGCTTTTATAAAGTCTCTACCTTCTAAACATGGTCTGTCCCCACCCCCTAATGACAGTGGCAGGAGGGAGGACAAAACTCACTCCAGAAATGGTGCCAATGTCTCACAGCTCAGGCAAGGTAAAGGTAGAGAGCTGTTTTGGACCATGCTGGGATCAGAGCTTGAGTGCCCTTCACTGGGTTCAGTAGTACCCTAATTCCTCTGCTGTGAGTGGCACTTTTGGGGGTGGCTAGAGGGCAGAGTTGGCAGCTCTGTGGTGCTTTAGGAAGGCAGGTGCCCTGACTAGCACCTGTGCAACTTCAGTAGCAGGACTGAGGGGTGGGTGGGAGCTGCCCACCTGTTGTTGAGCAGAGCTAACAGCTCCCCAGCATGGTACAGGTCATTCTTGGAGACTTGGCTAAAGCGGAACTCATTGAGGTTGCACAGCGTGATGGCAGGGAAGGTGAGCTGGGAAGCAGCCACCTCGTCGAGCTTGGTGACGTGGTGGTAGTGAAAGTAGTACTGTACACGCTCCGTGCACACACACAGCAGCACAGCTAGTGAGCCCAGGAAGCACAGGGCCCACAGTGCCCGCTTCAGAGACAGCCGCTCATAGGAGAAGATGTGGGCCAGGCCGTGCAGGGTGGAGCTGCTGGCGAAGGCCTGGATGCTGACTGGCTGGACGCCACCCACTTCCTCCTCCTCAGCCTTCAGTTCCATCCTTGCCAGGGGGATCCTGGGGGGGAGGGGAAAGAGGAGAATTTGTCATTGTCCTGGGATGAGAATATGTATGGGGCTTTTCCAACTATATCCATCCCGAATGTTCATCTTCAGAGGTCACTGGTCTGGCAGCAAAAGTGCTCCCTGGTGTGCAAGCCTCAAGGTTGGCCCAGGAATACACCTCAGGGTAAGGTTCCTCCAGATATAAAGACTTAAGGGTTAGCTCAGGCCAAGGGAGCACACTCTCAGGGAAGCTCTCCAGGCCTAGGGAGACCCCAGACAGTCACAGAAGGGAGAGGGGGAAGTCCCGATTCTCCCTCAGGCAGGGAATGGAGTTCCCTCCAGATGTGGGGTCACTCTGGGACAGGAAGGTCTACCCCATCCTGGAAACAAAACTCCCCTAGATGGGTTGGACCAGGGACCAGGAGCTCCTCTCCTGGCCAAGGGTATCCCCAAGATTCAGCACTCACCCTAGGAGCAAAGCCAGGGCCAGTAAAATCCCCAGGGAGGTGGATACCCCTGGGGAGGGCCAGACCTCAGCCCTCACCTTTCACCTTCCCTCCTCTCCAGTTCTCATATAGGCGCAGGCTGTGTGTGTGTGTGTGTGTGTGTGTGTGTGTGTGTGTGTGTGTGTTTGGTGGGGGTGGGGTGGCAGGCTACCCAGGTGGATGTATGGGGGGGCGCGGTTCTCTATGACAGCCAGTTGTCCCCGCCCCGAACGCACCCCCCCCCAGCCCAGCTTCTCGTCGCAGTCAGATCCCCTGCTTGGCCCCCGCCCCCCTCCCCAGCCAGCTAGCTACCCTCGCTGCTGGGGAAAGACAGAAAGGGGAGGACTCCCGGCTGGGGAGCGCTGGGGAGCCCTCGGCCAAAGCCAAGGAATCGGAAACCCACCTGAGAGGGCTTCGGGAAGCCCGCAGCCGGCAGCAGATCCTGGGCACGGGGCCGTTAGTGGGCTCAACGCCGAGCAGTGGAGGGGCTCATGGCCCGGAGTGGGAGCCGGCGGCTGCCGCGGCACCGCGCAGAGCCCTGCAGGGAGCGGCCCGCCCGGCGACTCGGCTCCGACCTCGTCCCCCGTCCGCTGGCCAGCGCTCGCTAGCTCTCCTCGGCTGCTCCGCCGGGCTCGGCGCGGTGTGCGGTGCGCGGTGCGCGGTGCGCCGTGCTCTCAGCCCCGGGATCTGCAGGGATCCATCGTCCGGCCGGGAGGCGGCGGGAGGGGAGGAGGAGGGGAGAGGGTGCGCGTGCGCGCCTACGAGTGTCTGCGAGGGTGTCTCTGGGCCGGTGCGAGCGGCCCCCAGCCCGCGGAGCGAACCGAGGGCTCCTCGCCGCGCCTCACCCTCTCCACCCGGCCGCTCCCGGCTACGCTGCCTCCCTCGGTCCAGAGTTGTCTCCCTGCTCTCTGCTTGTCAGGCCCTATGGCTTGTGTGTGACTGTGGTGTGTGTGAGAGAGAGCGCGGGTGCGCGCAAAAAGGAGGGTGTCTGCCCCCAGCGTCCCCTCCCAGCGCTGTCTCCTTCGGATCGATTCTCCTGCCGCTTGCTGCTGCTTCTTCTAGTGGCACACGCATACGTAGGCACACACACACACACACACACACACACACCGAGTCACACTTGACTGATTTAAGCACTTGCCCTGTGGAGACAGATACTTACAGAGTCACACCATGCCAGAGCAACACACACACACACACACACACACACACACACACACCACTCACAGATGCCCACATACCCCCGAGGACTGACACCCAGCAAGCACTCACCTGTCCTTATCCCTGCTCTCTACCTATGTGTGACACAGACACACACTCGGTGAACACAACAAATACACCCAGGTACCATCCACCATCCCTAGAGCACTGCCTTGACTTGGGGGCATGTTTGCAACCTCTCACTGCCAAATCTCTTAAGGAGGAGCAGAAAGAAGGAGGGAGAAACAGCCAGAGGTCAAAGAAATTTGGACAAAAGTAAGGAAAGGGGGAAAGGAAAGGGGGGAGCAGGATGAGGAGCAGTAGAGAGGTCGAAGTTGGAGCACTGAACCCAGGCTCTTGCTGCCCCCATGGCTCGCTTCTCTCCTTCCCTCCTTTCTGTGAGGCCTTGGGAGGCCCTCCCTATCCAATTAACAGAAAAGGAGCAATCAAGGAAAGTTGTTAATTTGCTGGTGCTCATTAGGGGCTCTTAGCACTGAGGTTTGTTAAGGTCTGATGGTGTCAGATGAGGAGGATGCAGTGCAGGGATCAGAATTCGATTTCCAGCGAGTCCTCTGCTCCACTTACAGGCCGGTGCAGCCCTGGGAAAGAAAGGTGGGAGGCAGGCCTCCAGGACGTGGTGCTGAGTTAAGTTGAAGAAAAGAGTCTGTGAAGAGAAGGGAACAGCACAGTAGAAGTTGAGTAAGAAGTTATGAGAGGTTGGGGGGTAAGCGGCACATGGGAAACCAGTGAAAGAATCTGGAGATCCTCCCAGTGTGCAGGTTTAGGATTTTGGAGGGAAGTCAGGGTGCATTTACTAGAGTCCTGCTGTGAATTAGAGGGAAAAAAAAGAAAGAAAGAAAAAAAAAAAAGAAATCTTCCATTTTGGTCTTGGCCTGGGGAGCTGTCCAGCAGCACTAGGCAGTCCTAGAGGCTGCTATGTCCCCGGGCAGCCACTGAGTGGCAGCACTCTCCCTGTTACTTAGACGCCCCTCAGAGGGGCAATTGGACGTGGGAATTGGCCTGGGTGGGAGGGTTCCAAAAGGTACCTGAGGAAGCATTGGTTTCAGTTTGATTTCTGAATCTCAAACGTCCTTGGGGGAAGGGGAGAACCAGCTTGGAGCATCTCCCACCTTCCCACTCTCACAGGTTGAGTGACACACGGAGTTTCTTCTAATGGCTGCAAATTGCTTCAATCACCTGGGATGTTACTGCAAGAGCAGCGGGGGTGGAGGGAGGGTGATGAGGTGAGGTGGAGGCAGGCGAGGACTGATTGAGGCCAACGAGCTGCCTCAGGAGGAGTCTGGGGAAAGATAAAAGGCATGAATCAGGCCATCGCAGCTCCCAGGCCTGGTCCTGCCACTCAAGTCCCTTGACCTTTCTGAGCCTCAGTTTCCTCATCAATAAAATGAAGATAATGTTTGTCAGGGCTTTTCAAGCATTTCACAAGCTAATGCATGGAAAATCTTAGTACATTAGCTTGTACTTAGTATAGCCTCAATAACCAAGTAATGATTATTGTCAGCATTAAGATTTGGATCTAGGGGGCTGGAGAGATGGCTCAGTGGTCTAAAGCACCTACTTGAAACAAGCTTGGCAAAGCACAGGGACCGCGGTTCGATCCCCCAGCACCACATGCCAGCCAGCCCCGCCCCCTGGGGGGCTGAGCTGGCCACACACACAATAAATAAATGTAATAAATAAAAATAAATAAATAATTTTAAAAAAGCAACTAATTTAAAAAAAAAAGATTTAGATCTAGTGGCAAAACCACCAGTGCCACTGCATCTGGACAGACTCTGAGATAGTGGTTCTGAAACCACATTGCATGGCTGATGGGGGAGATTTTCAAAATGCTGGTGTAATTCCCTCCTTAGAGCAGAATCTCTGGGCATGGGTCCCAGTTCCTCCAACTTAAAAAAAAAATATCTAATATATAATCAATCTTGAAAAGGAATCTTCTTCAGAATCTATGTGTCTAATTCATGGCATTATGAGTCACAGTCTTAGGAAGTTCTTCCTTATATCCAGCCAAAATTCCTCATGCTGTCATTTCTTCTGTCATTTCTTCTTTCTTTGAGATGAGATGGGCCCTTCATCTTTCTTTTCCTATCCTATGCCTTGCACCAAATCTCCACTGAGCTTTTACTTCATCAAATCCCAGGATGGGCCCTGTGGACAAGGTCGGGGGATAATAGCCCTTGTCCCCCAAGTCTCCCAATATCAAAGGAGAGATGAACATGTTGACAAATGGCAAGTGCAAAGGTCCAGAGTGCAACAGAAGAGTGGGTCCAGGCTGCCAGCAGAGAGTAGCAGAGGGGTGGTCATTCTGACAGGGCTCTGTGGGGAAGAAATAGGGAAAGAGGAAGTTGACTTTGCCAGGTTTTGGTAAGATGATGAAGAAGCTGGGTCTATGATTCATCTTTCACTCTGCTTTCTGATTGTCTGGGCCCATCTACCTTTTGTCCAGGCCCTGACACATCCTGCACCCTCTAGTATCCTCTTAGCTCCTTTCTACACCCTGTCATCTCTGCCTCCTGCAATGCCTAGATCGCAGACCCTTTAACCCAATGGTGACTGAGAGGGAACATGGGCTGGAGATTTTTTTTTCCAGTGGAGAGACGCATCGGATCCATCCAGGGCGTTGGCAACTTGCTGACCTGGGTTCAAGTCCCAGTGCTGTCAAATCAGGGCCGTGTGATCCTAGTTTCACTGTTTTCCACAAAACATACAAATCCAGCCAGTGCCCAGACTGCTGCAACACTGTGCCTGGCAAACAGTAGGTGCTCCATCAACAGTGGCAAGCATGATGATCAGCCCTGCAAGGCTGAGGGGAGCAGATTCCCCATGGACGATTCCCACACAGATGGCCCCATCTGCTCTAGGTGCAGAAGCACCCTTCAGCCTTTCTGAGATGGGTGGGGATTAGGGGAGGGCAAAGGGGGGACAAGGCCCCCTGGGACTCCCAGGCAGCTCTTCCCGCTCCCCAGTGCGTGAAATCACACACACCCCAATCTGTTTGCATCCACTTCATTTGCCAGCTCAGCAAATGCACGGACAATAAAGGAGTTAATTAGCAGGGGATTGGGAAGGAGCTGGGACCCATCAAGCCCTCCTACACCCATTCACTGCTCTGTGCTGCCCCACACATGACCCTCACCCTCTCTCTTTGCGGTCTGACCTCCCCAGCCCATTTGTTCCTCTCCTCTCTTCATGCCTTCTCTGCTACCCTCTCCCTCTCTTTCTGCCCTGTGTTTGTCCTTGCTTCCTTCCCAGGGGATCTTGTCCCCCCTTTGGCTTCCCCTCATCCTTCCTATGCCTCTCCCTAAGTTTTTCTCTCCTCTTTCACTCACCCAAGCCACTGCCTTCTCCATCCTTTAAGGGTTCCTCCTTTTTCCTACCCACTTCCCCCTCTCATCCCAGCTCCCTTAGTTCTCCATCCATCCCACCCTTCTCTCACCACCAACACCCTTCCCTCACCAACTGGAATTTGGCTCTTGATAAATGTGCCTCCTTCGCTGGTTCACAGACGTGGGGCTCTGCATCTGCTACAGGAGTTGGTTAGTTCAAGGTTTTATGCCAGCCCTGGTGTCTGCCTCTGCAATCCCAAAAGAGATGCCCCCAGGCTTCTCCCTCCATTGGCACTTCTCCCTCTTGGCTCTTGGGCATCTTGGGGTCTCTTTTTTGAGCCAGTGCATCTCTTCAGGGTTCTCTCCTCATATTGCTGCCATCTGTAGATCCAGAACCACACTGAACCCTTATTTTCTCTGCTATCTCTTGGGGGGCTGGAAGATGGCCACCTTTCTTCTTTCACACATCTAAATCTGTGTGTCAACATGTCATTTTATTGGGGTTAGGGAGATAGCTCAGTGGAATAAGCGTTTGCCTGGCAAGCACAGGGTCCTGAGTTCAATCCCAGTACCACCAAAAAAAAAAAAAAAGTCATTTTCTGAAACCACAGTTCAGGAGAAAGTGAATATATACATATCAGAGAGCAAGAGAGAGAAACCAGGGCAAAGTAAAGATTAAAAGGGCAGATGGGGGCCGGGGAGATGGCTCAGTATGGGGCTGGGGAGATGGCTTGGTAGAATAGCACAAGGGCCTGTATTCAATCCCCAGTTCTGCAAAAAAAAAAAAAAAAAAAAAAAAAAAAAAGGCAGATGGATGCTTCATGAAAGGCAGCAGAGACAGAGAAGGAAGAAGGAAGAGACATAGATTTAGAGAGGACATTGCAGAGGTCCCTCCCTGCTTTAAAAGCCCAGGACTTTGAGAAAGCTAGTGAGAGTAGGACAGAAACAGGAGGCCCAGAACGGGCCCTGTGCCTCTGTGTAAGTGCCTGAGCCGTGATCTTCCTCCTCCAGGAAACTTCCTAGGTTAACTCCCTACCCTAGCGCTGACCCTGTGCTCTCCTCCCACTTCCACAGCACATGTGCCTAGCCCTGACCCCTGCTGTTTTCTCTGTTTGGGGCGCTCTGACTGCCTTAGAAACAGGAGTT